ACCACCAACAGCTCCCGGCGCAGCCGCCGCCGCAGCCGCCGCCGCCGCCGCCGCCGGGCAAGCAGGCACCGGCGGGCCCCGGCGGCAGCGGCCGGGCTCCCGGCCACCAGCACCCCGCTCTCCAGACCCATCAGCACCCCGCGGAGAAGGACGGCAGGGAGAAGGGCTGCTGCGCCGCCCTACTCCAGCACAAGACCCACCAGGCCATCGGCAAAGGCGTCCTGAGCAGGAGACCGGAGTAAGTGAGAAGGGGGAAAGCGGGGGCGCAGGGGTAGCGGTGGGGGAGCAGGAGTGTAACGGGCTCTTTCCGGGCCCAGATCCAAGAGGGAACTGGGTTATACCCCCCTGCAGCCTTGCACGGAAAGAGTCAGTGTGTGGGTGGGTGGGGAATCCCTCCCTCGAAGCCTTGTCGGGGAGCGCAGGCAGAGTGCGAAGAGGAGCCAGGATGCTGCTTCCAAGAGGCATTTGCCTTCTAGTTCACCGCTTTTATTTTCATGTACAAGTGTCCGTGGCCCGCGTGAACCACCCGGGCTGCTTGCCCGCGGTACTCACGCACAGCTTCGTACCCTCGTTGGCTGTCATAAATAAATAAGTCTTTGATCAAAGATGAGTGTGGTTTAGCCCAGGCAGAGAGAAGCTTTGCAAAAGGACAGCAGCGTTGTGGCAAGCTTCTGTTTGCCTTAAGTCGCTGGTATCTGTCAGAAAAAAACCCACATCATCTCTGGAATAAACTGGGATTTTCCTGCCCTCACTGATGTAAGGGGTCTGGGGTATGCATTATATTGCACATGATGTCTATATCTTCATAGAGATACAGATGCTGTACATATGTTTGACATTTAGGATGCCTATCACACTTGTGTGTGGGTTGCCTTTTTTTTTTTTTTCCTTTGGTGAGTGGCACCTGACACTGATCCAGCTTTTCCAAAGGACAAAATATTTTTGCTGGTCTTTCCTCTTCAGTGAAGAAAGCATGACTACTAATACTGAATACTGATAATGGTCTATGTGCATGCATGTATAGTAAACAAGGATGAGCATTCCAGCACTATACGTGGTGGAAAAGGCTGCTACTGAAGAGTCACATTTTCTTGGATTACGTATCCAGTACATGCCATCAGTTCACCAGCTGGTAATTACAACTGCACTCAGTATTGCATTGTCCTTTGTTTAGGCACTTTGAAAGCAGGTCAATGTTTTCTGGTTGAAAGCTAGAGTTAGTGAAGTTAGGAAGAGAAGGAGCATAGTTTCTGATGTGGTTTCTTTTATGTAAGAAAAAAGCTAATATAAGTAGTAAAACTATATCAGAATTTCTTTCCTAGAACAAACTCAATTGTTTTGGTTTTAGTAATGTCAAAACAAATGAAATATGCAGTACACTGTATAGCCCAAAACGTCTTCCTTGTCTCTTTTGACAGTTTAAATAAAAGGGCCCCTTCTCTCTCATGTTTGTTTTGAATACACAAGCGTAGCTACAACATGGAGCTGGATTTTCAGCTGGTGTAAGTAGAGTTACGCCACTTCATAACAGCTAAGTATCTATCATGTGATTCTATGAAAATCAGTGGAGAAATTACTATTGAAAGAAATACTATTAACGGAATATATACAGTCAGAGCATGCTTGAATCTGAAAAGACAGATCCATAAAATGCTGCACTATAAGACTCAAATTTTGCAATCACAACTTAAAGGAAGTGAGTGGGCTACTCAGAGTATTAATACAGGTGGTAAGCACTTGCAGGATCTGGGCCTTATTCATCATGCAATAGATGGAGTTTTAAAAAGACGTAGGGCCAGATCCTGAACTCATGCCAATTGGTGTAAATCCAGAATAACATAGTTTAAGTCAAGTCAAAACAGTAAGAAACCCGTATAAAAATGCATCATCAACCTCATTGTTTTTTCAGTAGTGAATCCCTGCAGTGAAGGCTCTGTTAGAAACATTGTATCGGCAAGGGCTTTCCTTTCTTCTGAACAGAGTTTCTAACATACGTCATTCCACAGATTGAAGAATCAATTTCTATGCATAAGTCTAAATACCTCCTTCTTATCTGAGATTTTTTAGCAGTGGGGTTGGACTGGGGGAAGAATTGTAGATTTTTTTTCTTCCTACCAAAATTGCACAAAGAGAAAGTGCATTAAGAGCACAGCTGATCACTGGTATATCATACAATAATCTTTATGTTTCAGATGGATGGATGGATGGAGCCTTTCTGTGGAAAGTCAGGGCTGCTGCTGGGGATAACAGAGCAATCCCTGCAGCGTTCTTCACTCAGGAAGATTAAAATAGACTGCTTCTGTTTCCTTCTATAGCTTAGGCAAACTAAAATCTTTGTATAGAAAAGGAAGTATATGAGATACAAAACAGTCTACATTTCTCACTCCTGCAGGTTAATTTTTTATTTTTTTTTTTTTGCCACTGATTGTATATACTGTGTTTCATCCTCTCTCATCTCTGACTGTTAGAATGAAATCAAAGAGACTGCAAAATCTAACTTAAAGGCAACTTGTATAGAGGATGGGGAATCTTTCAGCACCTATTGACAGCATGCCCAATATCCCTTATGATCCAGCTTGCCAACCTAAGACTTATATTTTTGCTTATGAGTGACAGCAGGGAACATACACTTTGATACCTACACAGACTAGGTATCTGCACTGTTTTCCTTCCTCCCCACATCTAAACATGTTTTTCCCTCTATTATAAATCCTGAGATTCAGTGTTATCTAATTTTTTTTCTCTTAGCCAAGAGCATAGGAGCTGACTGTTCACTACAGAAAATGGCCACTACAGAAAATGGCCAAAATAGACAGAACATAAAGGGTATTTTAGCATGTTAGGATGTAGTGGCTGAAAGCAAGGGTTAAAGCAGCACCCAGGTAGTGCCCAGCTGTTACTGCCCAGTAATGGAATTTCCTCTGCCTCTCACAAAACAGGATGTTCTGGCAGCATGTTTAAGTTTACTTGTGCTGGCCCTTCTGACCTCAGACACAGCCCTGGGATTTTACCCATTTTGAATCAAGATTGAGGGTTTTTTGCAGCCCAGCTCACCTCAAGCCCTGGATAGAAGTGAAGACCTAAGCTTTTGAACATTTGTGACTATTCATGTGAGCTGGGGCAGTCTTCTGTAAGGTGATCGGAATTAAAAATAACTGAAGCATCTCTGTTCTTTTAAAGAAAAGTTCAGTCTTGTTTTCATTGTTCACTTTTTAAAAAAACTGGTAAGTTTGCTTTTTCTAAAGTCTTTTTTTTTTTTTTTTTTTAAAAAAAAGCCTACATTTTAAAAGGGAACAAAACCAAGCCCCTCTCTAGAAAAGGAAGTATTCCTGAGTTATGCAGAGGACTACTGATTATTGCTGCATGTCATTGTGTGAGAAATGTAGTACTGATCATACCTATGAAAAGAAAGACATGAAGAAAGATTTTTGCAGAGATTCTCAGCAAGAATTAGGCTGATTATTATTCTGTGGCATCTGTCTCTTTCTACCTTAGGAGTCTATTGCATAAGCGCCTCACAGCTTTAAAAACAAAAAAATAAGGTCATTCGTCATGGAATGTTTTGCTTCAAAAATACAGGTTGCCAAATTAGCATAGCTTAGATCACCCTTACTAGGCAGCCTCTTGTCTTAAGGGACCATCCCAAAGTATCATCAAATCCTGTGAGTATAAATTTTCCTTCCCTTCTTTATCAGAATACTACGTCTTTGCCAGTCCCCAGTCCCCTTCATTGAGTATCAGGGAAATGCCACAGGGTTGAATTAGGAAATTAAGTCGAAATGGCTCAAATCCTGCTAGCTTTTTGTCAGTTAAACTCTCAGTAGGAGATCTGCCTATAGAAGGACTTCAGATTTTGAGCCCATGCATTAGCTGGAAAACTCACTTGGATAAATACAGTTAGAATCATAGCTAGTAATCCATTATAGTTCCTTCCCTCAAAAGTCATGGGTGCAATTTACAAGCATTCTGCATTAAAGTGGCATTAAAATCTTTTAACCGTTTCATCAACAGTGAAAACAAGGCACAGAAACAGTGTTTGTCTAGCATGACATAAAGAATGTAAGTACTGCCTTTAAATTATTAGCCTGTGTTTGCTCTACAAGATACCTCCTCATGCAAAACAAACTCTGAGAACTCATGGAAGAAATTATCTAAAATCACATTTTTCCAGAGATGTTAAAGCTCATTTGGATTTACACTGGACTGAAAACTGTTTTGTTTTATTTTGGTTTAGGATGGTATTTTTTATCTTAAAGAGGCAAGTTTTAAAAGTCAGTGTTAAAGTCACTTAGTTGCTGTTGTGGTCTGAGAATGTTTGCTATGTTTTTGTTTAATTTCAAAAGCCTAATTATGTAAATTTAAAATGAAATTATTGCATATGCAAAGGTGCTGTTTTCCATAATTATTCTTTTTAACTATGCATTAATGTTCTATTCTATGGATTATCTCCAGGGTAAAGGCATTAGACAAAATCCCACTGATTTCAATGGATACTAACAATAACTGTAAATATTATGGCTTACTATTAACATATTTTGCTATATTTGCGCATTGCACCAGCACAAAAAGGAAAAAAAAAAAGAAGACCAGAACAACTCTTGAGTGGCTTGTGTACCCCAGATACCCATTCCTTTCACTCTGGGCATACAAGGAATGCTACATTTTCCCTCTGCTTTCATTCTTTAAGATTTCCCCCAGCTTGTTTCAGGGTTTAACTCTCTTGAGCTTTCACAGAAATAGTTGCATTGGTGCTGCCCCGGGTTTTGCAAATCCCTGCTAGCAATTACCATTCCAGCATCAAATGTTATTTGGAGTAGAGTGCTGTAAGCTGGTTTCAAATGACAGAGGTCTGTACTGGCATAGCTACACAAATGCTAAAGTCCTGCTTA